AGAACGAAGAAATAACCAAGCCCTAGATCCCACATGCAAAAATATTTCCCTTTTGGTAGATTTATCCAGAAAGATTTACTTGAATGTGGTCTCTTTCAGTAACTTATGTTTGATTGTGAGTTAAATAACAAGAGTAGCTGCTTTACCAAACCATTTCCTGCCTGGATACCATTACATATCCCTTGAAGAATGTATATTGTTGCCTGCAGGAAAATGTCTCATATTCAAAAATCTGCCACTAGGTAGGTACAACAGTAGTCCAATGTTGAGGTAGAATTAGGCTTCGGTTGATGATTCTATCAAGAAAGTAGGCGATACCTCGAATTGATCGAAGCAGCTTCCATTTTTCATTTTTCCATTTACACGGTCAGGGTGTTCTCGAGTAATTTTTTATTCACATTTAGATTAATTTTTTCTCAGACGATCAAAACAAAGTAGATGATCATAAGAACCATCAGCACTTAGCAGTTGTGAATGCAGAAATCAAAAAATTGAATAGTAGTTCACAATCAGATTTTGTCTGGTAATTAAGGAATAGGCTGACCCTATTTCAAATACATTAAAACAGTGAAGTGATAAAAACAATCAAAGTACCCTATGGCTGTTCCCCTAGTATGGTACAAAACCAGCTAATTATTTTACTCTTTAAATGCACAAACATGAAGCTAAAAACAATGCTATGCACATGCTATGATTCCCACATCATTCTGTGCTAACCAGGAGCCTTTTTCCACATCATCAAAAAGTTTTATCAACGTCCAACAGAAAGAATTGTGCTAGATCCGAGCTATAGCTTTATTGCATCGGATGGTTAATATCTGTTCCTATTCAAAGACAGAAACATAATGTAGGGCACGCCATAAAGATTTTTGTGCCTCAAAGAAGGAAAGTTCAGAAATGTATATCAAAGGAAACAATGAGAGAAGACAATTAGCCTACATGGAGCTAACTAGTAACTAACCATTTTAATAGATGAAAGAGGGGCCACATCCTTTAAACTTCAATAAATTCGCAAAAATGATGTAATTATAATTTCACGTGTTATTATATAATGAGTTTTTTCATTTAGAGATTTACAAGTAATATAATATTTATTTATTTATTTAATAATATATTGTAAACTTATAATCTTACTATATTTTTACAGTATTTTTTTTTACGACCTGCATTACTTTGAGATTTTTATACATTCCAGAGAAGATAAGTCTTTGAGCATGAAATTTACAAAAAAATTGGACTTTAAAGTTATTAGTGTGCAAAAAGGTAAAATGCATATATTCAGAAGGGAAAAGGGAACCTTTATTTAAAAAAAAGGAAAAAAAAAAAAAAAGTTGAAAACGGGATCCAAAGGAAAGTAACTGTGTGAGGACCCAACTTTCAGCTTTCCCAAACTGAAAAATTCTCCATTGAGTTCATCACCTACATAATTGCTCTTGATATGCCTCGGCTTCACACTGTGCTTTCACTGACAAAGACAAAGGGAATCTGTTAACATTTTCCATGCACTTTCCCATCTGCTTTTTTTCTCCACCATACAAAAACCCCACCCAAAATCTACAATCCAGGGGCATTTTCCCTTTGTTTTCTTCTGCAATTAGTTTGTAGTTATAGTAAATATCTATTCTTTCTAGTTTCTTTCCAATTCAACTTTCCTTCTTTTAGACTTCTTTTAGAAACAATGGCTAAGTTTAATTCCTTTCTAACAATTCTCCTTTAATGGGTTCCTTTTGGTTTCTGTGAAGAATTCGAGGCTGTATCAAAGTTTTCTGCTTTTTATATCTGATCCTCTGTCTCTCGTTCTTCTCTGTTTTCCAAGATTACTACAATGCCGCCTTTATACTTCCCTTTACGGTGGGAGAGTACCGGAGAGCAGTGGTGGTACGCCTCCCCAATTGACTGGGCGGCGGCAAATGGGCTCTATGATCTGGTTATTGAGCTTCTCCATCTCGATACCAACCACCTAATCAAACTCACTTCCCTTCGGAGAATCCGCCGCCTGGAAACAGTTTGGGACGACGAGGCTCAGTTTCATGGTGTCGCTAAATGCCGCTCCTATGTTGCGAGAAGGCTCCTTCATGAATGCGAGATGAAGAAAGGGAACAATTCTTTGCTCAGGGCTGGTTATGGTGGCTGGCTCTTGTACACTGCTGCCTCAGCCGGCGATGTGGCGTTTGTTAAGGAACTGCTGGAGAGAGACCCTCTTCTTGTGTTTGGAGAAGGAGAGTTTGGCGTCACTGATATGGTCTACGCAGCGGCGAGGAGCAAGAATTCTGAGGTTTTCAGGCTGTTGCTTGATTTTTCTTTCTCCTCGCGGTGCTGCCTTGGTGAAGCCGAGGAACAGGAATTGAGTGAAGGTAAATCAGTGTTTAAGGCGGAGATGATGAATAGGGCTGTTCATGCCGCGGCTAGAGGTGGGAATTTGCAGATTTTGAAGGAACTTCTCGAGGATTGCCATGATGTTCTGGTTTACAGAGATGAACAGGGATCTACAATTCTGCATACAGCGTCTGGGAGAGGGCAGGTTGAGGTAGGGCTCTTTTCTTCTCACAATCCCCATAATCCACCTTTAATTTTTATACAAGTACCCTTTGATTAGAGCTTTTCTAAAAATGCTTTAACATGAGATTAGATATAGAATTATCTTGAATAATAGAGGTGATAAATATACCAAATGTTTTTTGTCAAAGTTAAAAACAGTTTTAGGGGTTAGGCCAAAAGGCCTTTTTTTTTTTCATTGTAGAATTTTCTATCTGGATTCTCCAACTTGGAAATTGTCTATTACGGCTTTTCAGTTTCAATCAAGATCTTGATATTTTATCGATTCAACATTTTTCTTGATTGTGTATGTAATGAAGTACACTCAGCATCTTCATTTCATGCTCAAGAACATTCTCTGTTTCAAATTACAGAGTCTTTGATTTTTGTTCTTTTTGATACAGGTAGCGAAGGACCTTGTATCATCCTTTGACATCATCACGTCTACAGACAATCAGGGGAACACAGCGTTACATGTGGCTGCATACAGAGGTCACTTGGCTGTTCTGGAGGTTCTGGTTCTGGCATCTCCCTCTGTAGCCTCTGTGACAAACAACCATGGGGATACCTTCCTTCATATGGCAGTAGATGGTTTTCGAGCACCAGGCTTCCGACAAGTAGACAGGCAGATTGAACTCATGAAACAGTTGGTATCAGGCAAGGTTATGGACATCCGAGAGATTGTCAATGTAAGGAATATGGATGGAAGAACTGCTCTTCATGTGGCTGTCATTGAGAATATTCAATCTAGTGTGGTTGAACTTCTTATGTCTGTGCCTTCAATTGATCTAAATGTCCCTGCTGCTAATGGAATGACACCTCTAGATTTCCTCAAGCAACGCCCAAGATCTGCTTCCTCAGAGGTTTTGATCAAGGAATTGATAGCAGCAGGAGGGATCTCCAATTACCAAGATTACATGGCTAGGAGTGTCATTGCTTCCCATCTGAAAGGACAGGCAATATGTGCAAGTCCTGGAACTTCGTTCAGAATTCCTGATGCAGAGATATTCCTGTATACAGGCACGGAGAATGCATCCAGTGCCAGTTATGATCAAGAAATTGCAGAAGACTACAGTAGATGCTTGAGTGAAGTTAGTGACCTTAATTTGAGCAATTCCATGGAAAAAAAGAAGACAGATTCTGCAAGTTACGCTGCTAGACGCCTGAAGTTTCTTCTCCAGTGGCCTGTAAAGAAAGGGGTCAAAGCTAGAAGTACAGAACTAGAACTGGTAGAAGATGAACCTCTGGAAGTGAGCAGCAGAGGTAGAAGTTGGGCAGACAGACACATCCCATTACGCCAGAAGTACTCAAACAGTTCTTCTTCCCTTCTGAACGACGGAAGAACATATGCTTTCAACCCTGATCTCCCAAGTCCTACCGCCAGAAAGAAATTTACTGCAGGCCTAATGCAAGGTGTGATTCAACCGAGGCCTTTTCAGTCCCCTCCAAGTCCTTCCTCAGGATCCTTTATGTCCTCACCTGTTTCAGTGAATCAACTAAAGGCTCTCCAGGATCAATTATCTAACGACAAAAAAATTAATGGGAGTCAGAGGCACGGTTCTTTCAACAAGAAGTTAATGAACCAGTATTTCTGTTTTGGTACAGAAGGCCTGGCTGTTGTAGATCCTGTGAAATTTACACGTTCAGATCGCAGTTACCAGCGTGTGAGTTCTTCAGTTTCCTAGTTTTACTTAAAAGTAGTATTGAAGTTTTGGGTACAAGATAATGTTTGTGTACAATGTACAAAATATATCCTTAAGTAATGATAGTTAATTATTTGACAAATTTTCAAGGGACACATCGAGCAAAACATCATAGCTTTGAAGTGTTTCTATGTTTTTTCTTGCTTGTTTGGGTTGAAGTTACTAATTGTAATTAAAAAATTAATTTTCTTTCTTATATGTTATCCTTATGGTTGGAGTAGTTGCATTTGAGTGCATGTACTCTATGTAAAGAAGATATGAGAATATCATAACTGCAAGATAGGAATGGTAGAATAGGAAAGATAATTTTAATATTAAAAGATACATTTTTTATCTAATAATTTATATTATATAATTTAATAAAAACTAAATTTTTATGGAAAGATATTATAAATTTTGGTTACCTTTCAGTAAACAAACTTTTTATTGGTAGTATGTCTTCCGAGGGGAATACAGGGGGAATGTGGTAATGGGACAAGGGAGAGGGGAGAGGGGAGCCTCGAAGATTCGAAGTCTCCTTGGGGCACGCATCATTGCCGAGCTTATGTTATTGTTAATAGTGCAGTGTTAACAATGCGCTGTCATGGGAGTTATTTTTTTATATTATTTTTTATATAATTT